GGTTAGCCCAGAGTTAGAAGCAAGAATGCTAGTTGTAGCTCCTCGCGCCCATCCCTGCACCGCCTAAGTCTGTTTCCTCGTTTAACACAGTTGCAGAGTAGTAAGAGCTAAAGCATGGCGAGTTGTTTTCATTCATTCAGTAAAGATTCATTGAGCGCCCGATCGGCGCCAGGCTGGGACTGGGGACCCAGCAGTGAGCAGAACCAGCAGAGCCTCGGCTCTGAGGGGCCAGGCCGGGTGCCGACGAGCACTTTTCCAGCAGCAGCTCCAATGGCGCCATCGGGTCGAAGTACGCTTTACAGAAGAGGAAACTGAGGCCCACAGAGGGCACAGGGCTGGCCAAGACCGCAGAGCTGGGCAGTGCTGCTCCAGCTCAGTCTGCCCCTTTAAGGAAGGTGACATCTGAGCCACACAATGCTGCCTGCTCCCTGCTGAGGTCTGGCTCTGAGTCGCTGGGAGACCCCAGTGAGACAATCCTGGGGGGAGAGCTTGGCAGTTGTCTAGACGCGGCTTGCAGCACCTGGTGGAAACAGATGCACGGTCCCCCTGTACGGAGGTAGAGGATGCTCCGAGGACACAAGTGCTCATTTTCTTTTTCTTTTTCTCTCTTGCAGTGTCCAGAGCCCCCTTCCCAGCCAGAGGCTGCCAGTGCCGGACAGTGTGCTGCACATGTTCGCAGGCACCGAAGAGGGCCCGGAGGATGACAGTGCAAAGCATGGGGGCCGGGTGCGCACCTTCCCCCACGAACGGGGCAACTGGGCCACCCATGTCTACGTCCCGTGTGAGTAACCCATGAAAGGCAAGTGGCTGAGACCCATAGGTGCCTCTTGTTGGGTTTTTTTTTTTAGATTTTTAAAATATATATATATTTTTAAATTGATTTCAGAGAGGAAGGGAGAGGGAGAGAGAGATAGAAACATCAATGATGCGAGAGAATCATTAATCGGCTGCCTCCTGCACTCCCCCTACTGGGGATCGAGCCCACAACCCGTACATGTGCCCTGACCCGGAATCAACCATGACAGACAAACACGTCCCTCCCCCATGCCACCCCCCGGTTCACAGGTCGACGCTCAACAACTGAGCCACACCGGCCGGGCTGAAATATCATTAAAATACATAGACACGGGCTGCTGTCACGGTAATTTTCTCCTAAAAGCCAGAGTGACAAGGGCCTTTGCCTTCTGGGCTCCTTCACTCAGCCGGGCCCCCCTGGCTAAGAGGACGGCCCACCCTCTGCACTGTGCCCTCCAGATGAAGCCAGGGAGGAGTTCCCGGACCTGCTTGACGCGTTGCTGCCCCACGCCCAGACCTGCGTGCCCCGGCTGGTGAGGATGGAGGCCTTCCACCTCAGCCTGTCCCAGAGTGTGGTCCTGCGGCACCACTGGATCCTCCCCTTCGTGCAGGCCCTGAAAGAGCGCCTGGCCTCCCGCCAGAGGTGAGTGCCCAGCGCCCCCCTGCCTCTCCCCTCCCTCCCCTCCCAGGCTCCTCTTCCTGTCCTGAGCCTCCTGGGGCATGGAGGTGTGGGGTGTGTCACCCCAGCCAGCAGGCCAAACGTCTGCACCTCATCCTGTGTGAGCTCGGCCCCCCACGTAAGCTCTGGAGCCTTCGCGTCCTCGTCTGTGTGCAGTCATGGGCGTGGTGGTGGCTGCTCAGAGGGGACTTGGGAGAGTGACATGAGATCCGGGGTGCCCTTATCATGGCACCCGGCGAAGGATCGGAACTGGACCCCACTTCTCGTCGTATCTGCCGTTCTAGGACTTTTTAAAAAACGTAACTGTTTTATACATCGGCCTGCCAGGAATGCCTTTTCTCCTAGACTTGGCCAGATCGCAGTCCTGCTCCTTCACTGCTCTCCCGGTTGGCGTTTCCCCCAGAATCCCTCAGGGGGCAATCCCAAGGACCACCCATCCCATGGCTGTTTACACCCTACACTCATTTCACTCCTCATACCCAGTCCTTCCCATGTCCCTTCGGAGCCCAAGTTCCTCTAAGCCAGTGGTTCTCAACCTCCCTAATGCCGCGACCCTTTAATACAGTTCCTCATGTTGTGGTGACCCCCAACCATAAAATTATTTTCATTGCTACTTCATAACTGTAATTTTGCTACTGTTATGAATCGTAATGTAAGTATCTGATATGCAGGATGTATTTTCAGGGGTCGCGACCCACAGGTTGAGAACCGCTGCAAGCCCAGGAGTGTGGCTTCTCTCAGAACTGCCCCCTCGTTTCCAGGCGCTCTGCTCACTGTAGGCATCCCCTGGACATATAGTGAGTGAGTGAGTGCGCAGGCCAGAGAGAGCCCCGAAATCATCCCTGGGTCCTCTGGTGTTGGTTCTAGAAGAAGCAGACGGTCCCTGTGTAACTGATCTGAGTGGTGGGAGCAAGTTTCTGCCCCAATTTTATACCCAAACCACTAGGCATCGGAGAGGAGAGCGAGGACTTTGGAATCAGGCACACTGAGGCTCAAAGTGTGGCTCACCACATCCAACCCCCTCAGTTTTCTCGTCTGTGAAATGGGCATCATGATAGTGCCTGGCACACAGGGACTGTTCTGGTCATTGCTTAGGTGAGATCAGAATTGTCTTTTTTTTTAATATACAAGGAACACGTTATCTTTTCCGTGATCTATTACCAGCTTCTTGACGAGTAAGACTCTCTTGGTTCCCGTTGGTAAGTTGAGATGGTCTCAAACCGTTTAATGGAATGACTGGCTATTCCTAAAGTAGAAATTTCGCTGGCACCTGGATGGAACTGGATGTTACTTGAACTGGGTGATTATTTAAGGTCTTGTCCAGCTCTAATATGTTAGGGTTCAATTCACCGCCTGTATGATAGGGGAACAATACTAGTGCGCCATGAGTTCACTATATTTTCAAAGTGCTATTTTTTTTTTTTACTATAAACTATTTTTTTCTGATTCTTTTTCCTCATTCTTCCTGAAATGTGGTCTTTTCTTCTAAATTTCAGATTCTGCTTTACAGCCGACCGGGTAAAGATTTATACCAATGAAGAGAAAACCAGGTGGGTCTTCCCCACTAGGCCCCGTCATTTCCAGAAGATTCTCTAGAATAAAGATTGGGGCGGGTTGCTTGGTTTCTGGCCTTGTCTGTCGCAGTTTTCCATTTGCTTGTGTTTTAACCGACTCTATGACTACAAAGGCGATTGTTCCCAAATCTGAGCCTTTCTTTCATTAAGAGAAATAACAGAGGGGTGTAGGGGGAGGGGCAGAGGTAAACATCTTGGTGTACTGAAAAAAGCCTGCGGCCAGAAGAAAACCTGAGTTCCTGCCCAGCTCTGCCCGCAATTTAACACTTAGCTCACAGCTCCAGCTCTGTGACCTTCTGTTTCCACGTCACATGCCTGTCCTTGATCCGTTCATCACTGGACACTTGTGAGGCTCAGATGAGCCAAACGAGTTTTTGATGGCCCTGGCCAGTGTTGCTCAGTGGTTAGAGCATCGGCCCATACACCGGAGGGTCTTGGGTTTGATTCCCGGTCAAGGGCATGTACCTTGGTTGTGGGTCCGATCCCTGCCCCCAGGCCAGTTGGGGTGCATGTGGGAGGCAACCAATTGATGTGTCTCTCGCACATCGATGTTTCTGTCTCTCCCCCTCCCTCCCACTCTCTCTAAAATTGAGTGGGGGGAAAATCCTCGGGTGAGGATTAAAAAATGAAAGAAGACGCGTCTGAGTGCTGAGGGGAGGGTAGCCGGTGCCACCGAGCCAAGTCCTCGAGAAAGGGGCAGACTCCGCAGTGACGATGGAGAGACGAGTACAGGGGCTTCGGGGTCTGCAGGCTTGGCAGTGGCCGGCGAAAGCACTCCTGTCAGTGTTATCAGACCCTGGGGAGGAAGGGAGGCGTGTGGTTAGCCCGGGGGCAGGAAGGTTTCCAGCCGGAGGAGGGAGGATGAACGGGAGACGGTGAGCGAGCACTCATGGTCCAGCTGCTCGGCCATCCGTCTGTCACGGCCTCCACCCCGTCACAGATGCTCCCGTTCTCAGGGGCTGCTTCTCATGCCCCCGTGGTCTCCACTTGTGTCTCCTTCCAGGACCTTTGTTGGGCTGGAGGTCACCTCTGGCCACGCCCAGTTCCTGGACCTGGTTTCAGAGGTGGACAGAGTCATGGAGGAGTTTGACCTCACCACTTTCTACAAGGTAGCCCACGGGGCCTTTTCCTCTCCGACGGCCCCTTCTTCTACTCGAGTAAAACCAGCTCCCGTTAGAGGCAAACTGAAGAGCCTTCCAGAACTTTCCGTCAGGTGTCCCCAGCACCAGCCTTCAGAGGACATGCCCCCCTGGAAGCTGAGGGGTCTGCGATGTGGTCAGATGCAGCCCATCCGAAGGCCAACATTCCTTAGAATTCTTTTTTTATGCATCTTAAATATGCACAAGAGTTATGCCTTCTACTCCATAGTTTTTTATGTTTATTTTTATATTTTTGTAAGAAGCGGTTTTCCTCAGTTTTGACACCCCAAACGGTATTGCTTCATATACCTTCCTGCACCCCATGGTCTCCAGGGGTTCCGGAACTCCAAGCTGAGTATCAGGGCTTTAAAGGGCCGCTGGTTTTGCTTAATATCTTCTTTTCAAATCGTGCTGAGATCGGCAAGTGTGAGCCTGAAGGGAGACAATGGTTGTTTCTTCATCGTTTTAGACACTTTGATTTTTGTTCATCTCACCTTAAAAAGTGTGTCATCTGTCGAAGCGTTTTCGATCAGGACACAGGCTCAGAGCCTGGGTTCTCTCCCGCGTCCCAGATTCAGTGACTCGCCCCATAAGCAAAGGAAAGTCTCTGCGAACAGGACTGTCTCCGCTCGGGCTGCCACGACAAAATACCGTGCGCTGGGCGACTTAAACACCGACATTTATTTCCTCCCAGCTGTGGGGCCTAGACGTCCAAGATAAGGTGTCCGCATGGTCAGTGTTGGTGAGGCGGCTCTTCCTTGTTTGTAGACAGTCATCTTCTCACTGTGTCCTCACATGGTGGAGAGAGAGGGGAAGATACGTCTCTTCTTATAGGGCGCGTATCCCATCATGAGGGCCCCACCCTCGTGGCTAATTATCTCCCAAAGACCCCACCTCCAAGTACCATCCTATTGGAGGGTAGGGCTTCAGCATAGGAACCCGGGGGAACACAGTTCGGTCCAGGGCTATGTTGTTTACCTGTAGAGGGTGCTTGGGACCAACTCGGATCAGCACTGAGGGTCTCTCCCGTGGAGCCATCCAGGGATCCAGCGGGGATGCCATGTCACGGATCTGCTGTGATGCCCGGGCCGGCCTTGGCACCTGGTGACCGCCCGCCTCCCTGCCCTTCCCCCGCAGGACCCTTCCTTCCACATCAGCCTGGCCTGGTGCGTGGGTGATGCTCGTCTCCAGCTGGAAGGCCAGTGCCTGAGGGAGCTGCAGGTGAGTTCCCAGAGCAGGAGCCCCGAGGGTGCTGAACTCCGGAGTGAGGGGTGTCGGGAAGCGGGAGGTGCTGATTGGTCCTGGGGGTGAGGTGCGCAGCCCTGAATCCCCGGGAAATCACTGGCGTGGCAGGAGCCCCGCCGCCTGACCTTGCTCCCGAAACTGCAGCCCAGGACCAGCAGCAGCAGCAGCACCCCGGAGCTTGTTAGCACTGCAGACTCTGAGGCCCCAGCCCAGACCTGAGCATCAGACCCGCGTTTTAACAAGCTCCCTCGGGATCTGTGCGCGCAATAAAATCTGAGCAGCGCGGCCCCAGAACACGAATCCGAGAGGACGCTGCGGGCCTTCCTTGAAGTCCTAGCTCCTTGCCCGGAGGTCAGAGGCCGGGATGCCCACAGGGGCCCGGCAGGTGTTGGAAATGAGTGAAACGTGCCGGGTGTAAGGAACATCCACCTTCGTGGCCTTTCTCATATTGTGATGAGGAGGTGAAACAGTTCCCTCTCCCGTCGGTCCGTCGAGCTGCCGACTCGCCTCAGGGAGGCGGTGGGAGTGTTGCCGTGCGGGAATGTGGCCTGGTGCTGCTACCACTCCTGTTTTTCCAGAGAAGCCAGAAACCCAGATTTTTATGTATCGTCTCCCTAGTTCCTGATGTTGGCAACCAATGTGTATGTTTTTCAAGAACATTTTGCAAGCCCAACAAAACCTGCGCGCTAGGTGCAGCCTTGGGCCTGCATCAAATAGCCGCCCCTGCTCTTGGCCCGATCGTGCTGGATGGAGGTGGCAAAGAGCTTGCTGGGGGCTCCAGCAGACCCGGGTGCCCATCCTGGTTTTATTGGATTCTGTACTGCAGGGCTCTGAGCAGCCACTCCCTCCTCTGCAAAGCTGGGATGGTCGGGTCGACCTCACAAGATTGTGGAGCTGATAGGGCCTGGGGTCTGTGTGGCCTGGGGTCTCCCTTTACCACCATCTCTGAAGGACCTCAGAAAGCTTTGTTTGCAGCGCCCTCCGGTCCCCTGAGTCCCCTAAAGTGACTGTCCCCTCCTGGCTCCCGGCTGTAGGAAATCGTGGACGAGTTCGAAGACTCCGAGATGCTGCTGCGCGTGCACGCCGAGCAGGTCCGCTGCAAGTCCGGGAACAAGTTCTTCTCGATGCCTTTGAAGTGAGCGCCAGAGGCCCTCCTCGTCCCAGGTCCCACCGCAAGCCAGGCAGAGGTGGAGGAGGCTGCGCAAGCCGGCCTGGGAGGCCTGGTGGTCCCCGGGCCTGGTCCTCTCCCGGCCCTTTTGGGTTGCAGGTCCAGTGCCGCTGTGTTGTGGTCGTTCCCAAAAACCACCAGTAGAGGGCAGACCGGGCTCCCTAGTTCTAGATCTGTGGTTTTTATGCAAAAATATAGAGAAAAATGGGGTCACCCGGTGAGCCCACCCATACTCAGCCAGAATCCCCACTGTAGTCCCGCCAACAAATGGCCCCTCTCCCCACTCCCTACCCCCACCCCCGCACACACACACACACCCCACAGCTTCCTCAGCTGTTTGCACTGCGATGCCCTTGGCTTCAGACCAGCCTTTTCAAAACCATGTGTCCTGGCTCATCCCTGCTCAAGCCAGGACGTAGGGTCCTTCAAGGGGTCTGTCACTCTCCCTCGCTGAAGCCTGTCCCTTTATTGCTAGTCCCAGCCCCTCCTACGCCAGCGAAGGCCATGTCGGGGCCAAGGCACAGGGTGCTAATTTGAGGTTCAGCATCAG